ACGAGAATTCCTGGAGGCCTGGTTTTCAACCACCAATGCAATGAACAAACATGGTGAAATAGACTCCATCTACATACAACTATGGTACAAAACCAGAAACAAGACTGCGCACCATGACAGACCGGACTATATAAATTCAGAGCGGGACAGAACAACAGTGCTTCAACAGAGGGCTACACAGCACTGACGATGTCACCTAGAAGGGAGTCAAATCGTTTGCATGAAAACCAGTCAGCTCGGCGATCCAACCAACAACTCCAATACAGATGGATCTTCGTGTTCTTGTGCATGAAACACAAAAGTTAGCATGCAGATGTAGCAGGTAATTCCAAAGGCAAGTGGAATATTGGCATTTAAAGCTGGGTGGTTGTAATTTAAAAATAGAGAAGTCATGTCACAATTGTACAGGGTGCTGGGGAGGCCTTACGTAGAATAGTGTGAACAGTTTTTGGCCTCATATTTAAGAAATTGGCATTGAAGGCAGTTCAAAAGCAATTCACTAGGCTGATTGCTGGGATGAAGCAGTTGACATATCAAGAGCAGCTAAACATATTAGACTTCTTTTCATCAAAAGTTTAGAAGGACGAAGAATGATTGAATTGAAACATACAATATTCTGAGGGCATTTGGCAGAATAGATATTGAAAAGAGGTTTCCAGCAGCAGAGGAATCTTGAACTGGTGGACTTGATACAGAATAACAGGACAGTAATTTCAAACTGAGATGTGAAGGACTTTTTTCTTCCAGAGGGGAATGAATGTCTGGAATTCTCCACCCCAGTGGGTTGTGGATGCAAGATCACTGAAAAGGATTTAAAAAGGAAGTACACATTTTTTTAAAATATTTAGGAGTTGATGGCTATGAAGAGCTGGCATGAAAGAGAAGGTGAGGCTCGGGCCGATCAGCTATGAGCATACAGAATACTACGGCAGTCTTTAGAAGCTTGAATGGCCTGCTCTTGCTCCTATTTCTTATGCTAAGCTGTGATTCATTCTTCTTTAGATGTGCATCAGCATTTTTTAAAAATATACTATTCCGGATATTTTCTGAATTAGGAGTTCAAACCAGCCTAACTGATTAATATTGTTAGAGTGTGTTTAGGTTAGTACGGGATGCAATCTGTCTTGGCTTCCAAGTACCTGTTCCTGTTAAGGCCCAGTCAACCCCAAATGAGTTTCATTTCCCTATTGACCAATATTCCCAATTCTGGCCTTCAAAACGGAGTTTGACTCTAAAGTTTCAGTCAAAACACACCCCTTTTCAATCTCAGCCTCCTAGTCAGATATTGACTATTTTAATAAGCTTCAGCAATTCTTGAATTTACTATCTCTCATAACAATAGAGTTATTAGTAAGATCGGCAAAACGACTAAAATTAAATTGATAATAGCTCCATAAAATAAATTTATCTGTTGTCAGATGAGATCGGGTCAGTAATCATATCCAGATGGGTACCATTCACCTGGGATGAAATGGAAAACCCACACTAGGAGCAACTGTATAAAAGGAAGATTCTTTACCTCTCTTAACGTTCCTGCGTTTCAGCTTGTAGGTTTCTTTTCCACTGCACAGTCGGTAGATAAAGGAACCCAATTGCTGCATGTTGCTGACTTGTTCTATGACTTCCATCTCCTCATGAATAACATAAGTCTGGGGGAGGTAGGTTCCCTTCTGTGAAGATGAATCATTTGGTTGTTAACTAAAACAAAGTCTACTGCAAACATTGACAATGTTAGGACAGTTTGTTCTTAAGATAGAGCCTGGCTTTGCATTTTTAAGGGGGAGGAATTGATCCGTCAAAGCTTTACTTTGATGAAGTTTCTCAGCCTGTGTTTGTTTCCACATAGAAAATACTGACAAGAAACTTTTTCATAAGCAGCATTAACTAACAACCTGAGGAAGCATAACAGGAAGAATAGCAGTGAAAATAAAGAGGTTCAAATTGCATTTAAAATTAATAAGTCAATTCCATTGTTTAAGCAATTAATAAAGGAATTTCAATCAAACGTATTAACATATGTGTACCGAAAATCCAACCCTTGGATCTTCTATAGATTTTCAACTTAATGCCCAATATGAAATGTCATTGCAGATCTGTTGCCCATTATCAAAAGTATCAATTTTCATTTCCATTTGCTACATTGAAAACCCAATCCATTATTACTAAATAGAATAATCCTCATTTATACAGAATTTGACTGAATTGCCTAAAGGGCAATAAGAAAAAAAAAGACTTACCTTCACATTGGTAAGCAATTCCCATAGGTTGCGAGGTGGCATTACAATGGTGGTGTTCAGTTCAATGACATAGCATTTATCCAGAGAGATGTCATGATATGCAGTCAACCTCTACAACATAGGAAATGTAAGTTCAGTTGTGGAAAATATTTTCTTTCCTTTCCCCACATGAGACTCCATCGTGTATTTAAGAAATTCATCCTCCCAATGCAGAACTTAATTATTGGATGGAAAATCTTTCCAGTGTCAGTGCCAATCCTAAATTCATAACATGTGCTCCTGAGACTCAAAACTCAGGCACAGGAGTGCAATTTCCAAAGATGCCCGACAAGTCACCATGAACCAAGATAAGTGGAAAACTACCACCAGCAGCTGTTTTGTACTTTCAAGGTGGAAGAAATGATCCTACACAATTTTACTTTAATGAACTCTCTGTTACATTCTCTATTTGTTTTGGTACAGGAAATTTTGACAGGAAAACTCATTGAGCTGCTTATTAACTAACAGGGCTGAGGAACCCTAATTAACAAACAGGCCAGGCTCATAAATATTGCTCTGACATCAACTCCAAGGAAGTACCTGGGAGCAAGCCACTCTTCAATTCCTTTACACCTCTCCCCTCCATATCCTATACTGACCAATACCTCCCTCAGCACCTGACCACCACCACAAACCTTGATCATCAGACGCCATTTCAGCCACCTCCAGCAAGATGCCACCACCAGACACATATTCCCCTCCCCTCCCTTGTCTGCCTTCCGCAGGGACTGTTCCCTCCGGGACACCCTGGTCCATACTTCCTTCACCCCCAACACCTCCCCACAGCCCTACGGCCCTACGGCACCTTCCCCTGTAACCAGCGAAGGTGCAGCACCTGCGCATTTACCTCCTCCCTCCCCAGTATCCAAGGGCCCAAACATACCTTCCAGGTGAAGCAACACTTCACCTGCACTTCCAAGAATCTAGTCTACTGCATTCGCTGCTCACAATGTGGTCTCCTCTAAATTGGGGAAACGAAGTGTAGACTTGGTGACCGCTTCGCAGAACATCTACGTTCTGCTTGCAAAAAAGACCCTGAACTACCTGTTGCCTGCCACTTCAATGCACCACCCTGCTCCCTGGCCAACATCTCTGTCTCCAGCTTGCTACAGTGTTCCAGTGAAGCCCAGCGCAAGCTGGAGGAACAACACCTCATTTTCCGCTTAGGGACCCTACAGCCCTCCGGACTCAATATTGAGTTCAATAATTTTAGGGCCTAAACTCTCCCATGTCCCAGCCCCC